GAGTGGCGAAAGCTGTACTGGGATGCAATCTCAAAAATGATAGAATGATCTCGATACGAATCCAAGGCAGACCTTTTAACATCACAGTAATCCAAGTTTATGCACCAACTACTGGTGCTGAAGAAACTGAAATTGACCAATTCTATGAAGACTTACAACACCTTATAGAAGTGACACCAAAGAAGGATGTTCTTCTCATTATAGGGGATTGGAATGCTAAAGTAGGGAGGCAAGAGATAAAAGGAACAACTGGCAAGTTTGGCCTTGGAGATCAAAACGAAGCAGGGCAAAGGCTCATAGAGTTCTGTCAAGAGAACAAGCTGGTCATCACAAACACGCTTTTCCAACAACACAAGAGACGACTCTACACATGGACATCACCAGATGGGCAGCATCGAAATCAGATTGATTATATTCTCTGCAGCCAAAGATGGAGAAGCTCTATACAGTCAGCAAAAACAAGACCTGGAGCTGACTGTGGCTCAGATCATCAGCTTCTTATAGCAAAATTCAAGCTTAAACTGAAGAAAGTAGGAAAAACCACTGGGCCGGTAAGATACAATCTAAGTCAAATCCCTTATGAATACACAGTGGAAGTGAGGAACAGGTTTAAGGATTTAGATTTGGTGGACAGAGTGCCTGAAGAACTATGGATGGAGGCTCGCAACATTGTACAGGAGGCAGCAACGAAAAACATCCCAATGAAAAGGAAATGCAAGAAAGCAAAGTTGCTGTCCAACGAGGCCTTACAAATAGCGGAGGAGAGAAGGCAAGCAAAATGCGAGGGAGATAGTGAAAGATACAGGAAATTGAATGCAGATTTCCAAAGAATAGCAAGGAGAGACAAGAAGGCCTTCTTAAACGAGCAATGCAAACAAATAGAGGAAAACAACAGAATGGGAAGAACCAGAGATCTGTTCAAGAAAATTGGAGATATGAAAGGAACATTTCGTACAAAGATTACCATAATAAAGGACAAAAGTGGTAAGGACCTAACAGAAGCAGAAGACATCAAGAAGAGGTGGCAAGAATACACAGAAGAATTATACCAGAAAGATATGGATGTCTCGTACACCCCAGGTAGTGTGGTTGCTGACCTTGAGCCAGACATCCTGGAGAGTGAAGTCAAATGGGCCTTAGAAAGCACTGCAAATAACAAGGCCAGTGGAAGTGATGGTATTCCAGCTGAACTATTTAAAATTTTAAAAGATGATGCTCTCAGCATAATTCTACATAAATAGCATGCTCTTTTAGCCAGATATGCAATTATCTATGTTTCCTGCAGTCTAGTGCTATTCAAATAAATTAAGTTGTACTTTACACCAGCAGACTCCTGCATTTTTTATCAATACCTGATGCATTTCAAACACCAGGAGAAACAAAATTATAGAACAATGCTATGTATATGTTTTGCCAGTTTTAGTACCATTTAAGAATAAATAACTTTGAAGCATGCAAACATTTAACTAGTAAAATGTGGTTAATTCAATCTGGAACTGGCCTGCTTTGTTTAATTCTCGCAGCTGTACGCTGAAGCCTCTTGTCAATTCTGTTCGTCAGTCGAACAAGACAGTGACTTGCCCAGCAGTTGAGTGGTGATTTGAGTTTCCAAGAGGGAGAAAATGCTGTGCTCACATTAACAGCTTAAAACACAGCCCAGCCTCATATAACCAAAATGCTTAAGTCTAATTAATACACGAAGGAATTAATACCATAGAGTATGCTGTCCTGCCAGGCGTAGCTATGTCACTTCCCTTTACCTTGGGAGGAAATGGGTAATCAAGCCCTTGTTCGCTCCCCATTTATCTGAGAAGCTCAGTGTCCTCCAGCTCAACCACATGGCTTTCACCAGCCACTCTTGAGTTCCTATACCAATGCTGTAGTCTAAGAACTTTTACCACTTAGTAATTAAGCTAGGTTTTGCTGCCAGTTTTTCTTATTGATATATGGAAAAGAGCATGAACCAGACCTTTGAAGAGTTTGTAAGTAAACCAAATTTTAACTTATCAAACGTGGTTTTTTCCTATGTGGGGGGAAGAGGGAAATTTTGGAACTTGCTTGAAGGGGCATAGTTTAAAGATCTAACAGCTTATGTTTGCACAGTTTAAAGGTAAAGGTAAAGGGACCCCTGACCATTAGGTCCAGTCGTGACCGACTCTGGGGTTGTGGTGCTCATCTCGCTTTATTGGCCGAGGGAGCCGCTGCACAGCTTCCGGGTCATGTGGCCAGCATGACTAAGCCACTTCTGGCAAACCAGAGCAGCGTTTACCTTCCCGCCAGAGCGGTCCCTATTTATCTACTTGCACTTTGACGTGCTTTTGCACTGCTAGGTTGGCAGGAGCAGGGACCGAGCAACGGGAGCTCACCCCGTCGTGGGGATTCGAACCGCTGACCTTCGGATCGGCAAGTCCTAGGCTCTGTGGTTTAACCCACAGTGCCACCCGCGTCCCTTTACTTTGTTACATATTTTGTGCCTTTAGCATAGCTCAATAGCTCAACCAGTAGAGCATGAGACTCCTAATCTCAGGGTGGTGGGTTCAAACCACACCATAGGCAAAAAGATTCCTGCATAGCGGGGGGTTGGACTAGATGACGCCTTGTACAATCCTACAATTCTATGATTCTGCTGGGGTTCTCTCACCAAAGAAGTATGTACTTGAGTGAAATTTGGATCTTGGCATCCAATGATTTCTCCTTTCTATATATATGCTACACACGCACACACACACACAAACACACGGATTGTGGCTAAAGCTATGTGCACACCGCTTTCCAAACCAGCAGCGGAAGAACTCAAGATGCAGAATAAATTGGAGTGTACATGAACAATCTAACACTAACAATAGTCATATCCCTGAACGGTCATGGCTTCCCCCAGACTCTTGGGAACTGTAGTTCTCCCCCCACAAGCTACGACTCCCAGCAACTTTAACAAACTCCAATACCCAGAATTCTTTGGGGGTGGGGGTCCTGCATTGCAAATGTGATGTAACTTGTCAGTGTGGCTTCATTAGAGGGGGTTGGACTAGATGACCCTTGAGAGCCCGCACACAGGGTGGTTGGGCGACAGGAAGCATCAGGGCCGGATTTAGGTTTGATGAGACCCTAAGCTACTGAAGGTAATGGGGCCCTTTGTATGTCCAGCTGTCCTTTGTCAGCAACAAATTGCCACTGTTTTTTTGTGTTGAATACATGCTATATGGTAATTTATGGACCTAATCGGTATCTAAAGCAATTTGCACATGTTGCCATGCAACCAGTCCATGCAGAAATGTTGTTGTTTAGTCGTTTAGTCGTGTCCGACTCTTCGTGACCCCATGGACCAGAGCACACCAGGCACTTCTGTCTTCCACTGCCTCCCGCAGTTTGGTCAAACTCATGCTGGTAACCTCGAAAACATTATCCAACCATCTCGTCCTCTGTCGCCCCCTTCTCCTTGTGCCCTCCATCTTTCCCAGCATCAGTGTCTTCTCCAGGGAGTCTTCTCTTCTCATGAGGTGGCCAAAGTATTGGAGCCTCAGCTTCACGATCTGTCCTTCCAGTGAACACTCAGGGCTGATTTCCTTAAGAATGGATAGGTTTGATCTTCTTGCAATCCATGGGACTCTCAAGAGTCTCCTCCAGCACCATAATGTAGGCACCCTATATATAGAAATGAGCAAACTAGTGATATTTTAGGGAGCAGGCTAGCATTAGTTACATCATAGGAGCCTACGCAACACAACACACTATTGCTGTGTGTTAAGTTGTGGGTGAATATATCAGACGACACAGTGATTTTTCAGACAGCTTGCTTATTCACAGGCCAGAACAGAACTGAAGGGTTCAGCCAACCTGCTTATACAGAGCTCCACTACAACGCAACAGTAACAACTTTCTGTAACTATCCAATCACTGAATGTCACTTTCAATTCCTTATTTGCACATGTGGACCAGATGGAAAACTACGGTATCTACAGTATCCCCCTGCTGGCCCAGGGTGAGAACTTTAGTACATAACACCGTGTGTAGGTTTTATTTGTTTTTTAACTTATATTTTGGAAATGTACATCAAGTGTTTTTTTCCTTTAATTTTTTTTGGGGGGTGGCCCAAGAGAGTGGGACCCTCCGGCACTGGCAAGCATGGAACTGTGCTTCAGGAATCCAAGCGACTGAGAATACCCAGCGTTATCCACAGGCGGACTCCAACTCCCATCAGGCCTTGCAAGCACTGGCCCAATGGCTCATGGGAGTTGTAGTCCAGCAACGCAGGGACCCCGATCTGGCGGCCGCAGGTTTCTCCGCCCTTGAGAGGGATGAGGGGCACGTGACCCTCGGCACCCGAGAGAACCATCAACGGTCTGAGGAGAGCTTTTCCTAGGGGCAGCTTGAGAAGGGTCTATGTTCCCTCCTTAGGGGAGCAGAAGCGAGGAGGAAGGGTGCCTTGGCAAAAAAAGGGAATATATAAACGTCATTTAAAAAGCAGAACAAATGCTTTTACGTTCATAAATATCGGTTGACTTCTCCTTGTAATCACTTAAACCGCCATTTAGACGTTTCGGGTCTTCTCAGACACCCCCCTCCCCCGCCGCTTTTTTGGTACAACCCAACTGCCATTTCCCCCCATTCTCTCTCTCTCCTTCCCGGCCAGCGGGTTCCCTCGCTTTCCCTTCCAGCCCCGCCCACTTCCTCGACGCGACAGGCGCAGCCTCGCTTCGGCCTCCGGATGACGTCAGTGTCAGATCGCCTATACGGATCCCGACGGGTTCGGGCAAGGGCTCGCGCGTCGGGTAGGAAGGACGGCCCCGATTGGGCGCGGGCTTGAGCAAGCGGCCTGCCGATTGGCCGCCCGCCGCGACCCAATCGGCAGGCGGTTTGTTCTGGGAGGAGGGTGAGAGAGAAGGCTGGGCTGTGGGGGACAGAAGGGAGGAAAAGGTGAGGGGAGGAGGGGGACTCGGGGAGAGCGCCCCTAGTGCAGGGGGAGCCCAAGGCGGGACGGGGGGGTGGGGGTGGGGAAGGTAAGGAAGCCCAGAGCGGAGCCACCGCCCCCCCCCACTTTGCAGGGTTGTGGGGGAGGGAGGGGAAGTGGCCCCTCCCGCAAGGGTGGGGGAGGGGAGCCCAGCACGCCCCATGCAAAGAGGGCGAGTGCCTGGTGGATTTGACCCCACCCCCCATGAAAATGGGGGTGGTGGTGGAGGGGAATGGGAGCCCCCATGCACAGACTGGGAAATCAGACCCCTGTGAAGGGGGCTGGGGCGTAGGAGAAGCGGGGCAGGCGCCCATGTGCAGAGGAGGATGGGCGAAGGGGATGCACAGGGAGACCTGGAGAACTACCCGAGGATGTAGGTTGTGGCCCGTGAAATCGTGCTGCGGTTAACGCGCTAGTCTTGCCAAGGTATCATAAGGCTCTTTGTTGCTGATGGGGGGCGGGGTGGGCAGAGAGAAAGAGAGGAGAGGGGTCCTCTTTTCAGAAGTGAGGTGGAGAGAAAGAGGAGTGAGAGCTGCTTTCAAGGGCAGGATTGGAAGAAAGTGTGAACTGGAGGCTCTGATCCTCTCCTGTGTAAGCAAACAAAAAACTGAAGGGAAGGGTGCAGTCCCCTGATGAGGGGTTGGATGTCAAATCACTGAGGGGTCTGTTCAGCCTTGCAGTGGGGATGAGGGGCTGATCTGCACCTTTGCTTGCTGTCTACTTATTTACAGTCTTCTTTTGAACTCAAGTTTTCAGAGGACCGACTTTCTCAGTCTTGGTGTGTGCTGGAGCAGGCAAGATTGGATGTCCTTCTAGAGCCACAGGCCCTTCTGGGGCTGGTCCGTGGCTTTAGACCTCGAAGGTATGTGGGAGATGCACCCTGAAGCCAGGTGAAATACAGCTCAAGCCTCAGAAACAGCTGGTGGGGTAAAAATCAGATTTTCATTTTTTCAAAGATGAATTTAAATTGGAGTATTCCTCCCCCCTTGAAATAAGATTGTTTAATACCGCAACTTACAGTAATTAAATGCAGATAAAATGTATATATTACAATCTTATACAACTGGACTAGTGATCTCCTATCAAACACATTGAGATAAAACCTCATTTTCTATGTAAAAGACATGTTTATGTTAATCTGTTCTCAGGTCAAGACTTATAAGTGTGGTAATAGGTCACTGAGAAAAATGATGAATATTTATTACGCTGCCAGTACGCTACACAGACATTTACATTCCATCTCATGGAAAAACATGATTGTGACTAGTAATAGCCTTGCTTCTGGAATGTGTTGGACATTCCTGACTGGGATCTAAAGAACAGCTTAAAAATCTGCAGATTATATGGACTGTCTTAGTAATCTTTTTGACTTATTTTCTCTGAAGTGACTCCCATACTAGATCACAACTACTTTTGAAATATCCACAGTATCAAAGCTATGCTTTCCCCCTCCCCTGTGCATCATTTTGCACTTAAATCAAATATTGTTTGTCTTTGTTGCCTGTTCATCCATTAAGGAGAGATCCTTTTGGATCCCCATCCTTAATAATGTAGTGTCCTCCTCAAATAGTGTTTGCATACAGATCCATTAACTGGTTATTTTCTCTGAAACATGCAGTGCACCAGAAATTCAGCTGCAATGTGGCAGTTGGAATTGCTGAGAACTAGGGAAGGCTGCTGTACACTGGAGGACATTTGCATGTCAGTGCCTCTTACATCTGCTGCCAAGATCTGCAAGAAACATCAGCAGCCACGAGAACCTGGCAGAGGAAGCCCTGCCCTATGACAAACTAATAATATTCCAATTAAATGTTTCCTTGCTCTTTAAATGCATTATAAGCGAGCTTGAGATCTTTGAGTAGCTAATGGGCTATAATTCTAATCAATATTGTCAGTTGACCTAGTCAGATGAGCCACCATGGGGATACAGAGTGCTAGATGGGCCTTTGGCTGGACCTAGCAAAGCACTTCCTAAATGATTGAAAATTGACCTAATTCCAACTTAGCACAATTGAGTTGTGTGTGTGTTTAAATAATTACCTTTTATTTTTTTTATTTTAATTGTAACTTGGCTGACCCTGGTGTTTCAGGATAAATTCTTTTAAAAGTCTGTTTACTAAACATGTACATTTAGAAAAACATTACTTAACATAGGGGTGTTAGGGGAAGGTTAGTACCTCTGGTGGTGGTGGTGGGGGGGACAGGTTGTGGCTCCTAGAAGCTGTCAGCATGTGACAGCAGCCACACCTCAGGAAATGGCTTCAATTGGCCAGCTAAACCAGGTGAGGGTGGCAGGTGGATCTCAAACCCTCTGTGAGTTAGCGACTACCCCTGCATGCAAAGACAGGCTCCCACAGATTGAGCGGACAAGACCAATAGTGAGTCCTACAGTCAAGGTGGTTTCTGCAGGTGCTGTAGAAGGGAGTGAGGGGCAGATGGGGCTCATCAACCTGGGAAGGTAGCCCATCTAGGAGAATGAAAACTCAGATCCTAAACTTCTGCTGCTTTGTGGGCTATCTTTGGGAGAAGAGGAGGCTAAGGAGTAAACCCTACAAAAATCTGGACTGGAGTCCCCAAGGCAGTTGGATGGTACCTTGTAGGCTGCCTCCTAACAACTCCAGCAGCCAAGCTGGTGCCAAATAGATCACTCTGCTTTCCTTTGGACCACTTCAGTGAGGCTGGGGGGGGTCTTGTCATCTGGGCAGGCCAGGAGCTCCATACATAGGCTTGCGCTTTGGGGTGATCACTTAGGTGTCGCTAACATAGCAGTTTGACTTTAGTTAATTTTGGTCATTCCATGGTTCTTTGGTTTTTTTGTAATAAGTGTAAGTATCAAGCCTGTTGGTGATCAAAAATATATCTTGTTTAAATAGGCCTGCTATTTTACAAATAGTTAATCATTATTTGACAACATTTGTCCAAAATTGAGTTGATCCTTTCTGACCAGTCAGATGCCCAATTCTGTCCTCAAACTTAGCTATCTCATCGTTTACCCCAGCTCCAGGTGTCTAATGAAACAGAAGCTCATGGGATATCCCAATACTTGTTTCCATCTGTTTTGAAAACAATCCTCCTATTGCTTCTTTTTTAAACTGTTTTCCAATCCACCTATCTTCCCATGCAGAAGCCATAGTGATTGTTTGGATCCTGCTCTTAGATGTGATTTAAATCATTTCTTTATATTCAGCCTTTTCCTTGGCAATTTAAAATCATGAAATCACAGAACTCTGTGATTTACAGTGCAAGCCAAACCCCAGAACTGCCGATATGAGTTTGGATTTGGCAGATCTTGGACTTTTCCGGTTCAGCTTTACTGGCTTAAGACCCTCATTCTGACTGAGCCAAAGATCTAAGAGTGTAAGTATTTCATCCCCAGCTCAGCTGGCAGAACTTACACCAGTGTAGTCCCCCAAAAGAGGTGTTTTGAGGAAGTGGGTGGAGTGAAAGAAGGAGAGACTTAACACCTGTTTCAAACCCCATTCAGCTTGGTCGTGTGTCCTACGTCCCAATCCTCAAAACTTAGGCATCCACCCAGCTTCTGGCTTGGCCAGCACTTAGTCTCCTCCCTTCCCTTGCCAGAGGCTCCTGAATGGAGTTTGGAAATGGGTAACATGTGCCAGCATAAGTTTCACCAGTTCTCTATAGTTGGGATTGCTCTGCCACATCAGTCCACTCGCTGCTGTTGGACTCTAGAATTGGGCAAAAAGAAACGATGATACTGTGTGCTAACAAAACAGCACTGAAATCAGGACACAGGTGGCATGACAAGGAGGAGTGCCTTTACTTCTGCTTCGTACCGAAAGAAATGAGAATGTTGCAAAACCACACTAAAGAAGATGTAAACGTGTTTATGCTACATGTTTAAGCCACTTTGAAATCTGTCCATAGTATCTGGCAATTGTACAGCAGAAGGGCTATAGCTCAGTGGTAGAGCACATGCATGGCACACAGAAGGTCATCGGCTCAAAACCTGCCATCTCCATTTAAAAGGTTCAGGTAGCAGATGATGACAGTGATCCCTGCCTGAGGTCCTGGAAAACCACTGCCAGAGAGTAGGCAACACTGGACTAAACTGCGTAAATCCCTGTGTGATTTACTGCCACAACTGTTTGATTCCCCCCCCCCCAACTATAGGTGTTTTTGTGAAATAACTTACCGTATTTTTCGCTCTATAGGACACACTTTCCCCCCTCCAAAAATTAAGGGGAAATGTGTGTGCGTCCTATGGAGCGAATGCAGGCTCTCTGGCTTCAGTGATAGCAACCTGAAGCCTCCGAAGCCTGCGCTCCGGAGGCTTCGCATTGCTTTCACTGAAGCCAGGAGAGTCTGGTCTTTGAGGCTGGCGGTGGGGAAAAGCAGCGCTTCCCCCCACTGCCAACCCCACAGGCTTGGGGGGCAGTGGGAAGGCATCGCGCACAGGCTGTGTGCAGCCTGTCCGCTGCTCCCAGAGCTGGGGGGGGGGAATCATATTTTTTTCCTTGATTTCCCCCTCTGAAAACTAGGTGCGCCCTATGGAGCGAAAAATACGGCAATTGTTACAAGGGAAGAAGGTCTTTAATGTTTTGTTTTTCCATTCCCTGTTGCAGTAATGCATCAAAACCTAAGTAGCCTTGCAAAATAACTCAAGTCTGCTTAATTCTCAACCCCACCAATTAAGGTTTTTACCCTCAGCTGACTAAATAGTCTAAAAAAGCAGTAGTTGACTGACATACTGATTGATGCTGCAATCTTATACACTCTTATCTAGGAGTAAGTGCCGTTGAACTCAGTGGGGCATCCTTCTAGGTAAGCCTGTATTGGGCTGTGCCGCTTATACATTTTTCTTGCAATTCCTGCTCCTTGATGTGGGAACCCGTGAAAGACCCGTATCTTACCTGTTTCATCATAGGATGTATTTTATACCAGGGTTGTCATTTGATTAATTGGTCGCATTAATAAATAGCATTTTTCTTTGTATTTAGATGTCTGCATACTTTATCTGATTTTAATTTTGTATTTTTATATTGTAACCTGTCCTGGAACCTTATGGTGAAGGGTGGATAAGGAATATTATTATTATTATTATTATTATTATTATTATTATTATTATTATTATTATTATTATTTAATGTGTCTCAGTAAATAGCACCTCAGAATCGGCATTCTGTTTTATTTTTAAAAAAATTTGCAGGCACTGATCAAAGTATTTTTCAGTCAGCGATCCAGATTAATCGCCCAAGTCTAGAACACTGGGCTCCCTAATTTTTCCTTTCTCTTTCTTATACACCCCAGCAGGCTTTCATGATGGCAGAGTCAACCGAGGAGACGCTGCTGTATGTGGAGCATCGCTTTGTCTGCTCGGAGTGCAGCCAGCAGTTCAACTCCTTGGAGGAAGCCCTGGTACATCAGCAGAGCCACCTGTGCTCCCAGGAGCAGCAGTATCAAGTGGTGGGGCTGGCAGAAGCTGGGCTGGTGGCAGGTGGGGAGGCCGGCCTCTACCAGACCGTGACTGTGCAGGAAAGCCAGTACCAATGTCTGGAGTGCGGACAAATCCTCCTGTCTCCCAGTCAGTTGCTGGAACACCAGGAGATGCACCTCAAGATGGTGATCCAGGAGCCGGAACCCTTGGTGAAACTGCTGAGCTCCAGCCAGATCCATTATGAGTGCACAGAATGCAAGGCCCTGTTCACCAGCCAGGATGTGTGGCTCGCTCACCGGCAGACCCACCGGAAGCCACCCGAGCCACCGGCTCCCCCTCCTCAGAGCCGGGCACTGGTCAACCTGGAGCACTCCTACCGCAAGCCGCAGGACGGGGTAGACACTGTGCAACTGCTGCTGTATGAATGTGGTGAGTGTTTCCAGCTGTTTCAGTCGACGGCAGACTTGCTGGAGCACCAGACCACACACCAAGTGATCCAAGCCTCCCCAGGGACAAGAGCGAGGGAGCTGCCTGCAGCCTGCCCCACGGAACCGAAGGCGCCGCTGCCACCACCACCACCTCCAAGTTTAGTGGCTGTGCACAACGGGGCTGTGCCGCCGCCAGCCCCCACCAGCGTCACGGCCACGGATCACAGCTATGAGCTAAAAAACAACCCCGGGGAGCAGCTTCCCCAGAAAGCGAAGCAGGCCGCCAAGGAGCACACGTGTGCCGAGTGTGACCAGTCCTTTCCTTCGGCCCACAAACTCCAGCTTCACATGAGGAGCCACCGGCAGGGCGCCTTCAAGTGCCCGCTCTGCAGCAAGGTGCTGCCGTCCCCAGTCGCCCTTGAGAAGCACCGGGAGGAGCACAGCGGCGAGTCGCGCTTTCTGTGCATGGACTGCGGCCTGGGCTTCGGCACGGAGGCGGTGCTCTTGTCCCACCGGCGCACGCACTCCTCCAACCCCCTCTACCGCTGCGCTTGCGGGAAGACCTTCATCAACATGACCAAGTTCCTTTACCACCGACGATCCCACAGTGCCAATTCAGCGCAGGCCCACGAGTTGCCTGCATCTCCTCCTGAGGAACAGCCTCCTGAGGAGGAGCCACCTGAAGCCTTGCAACAACCGGAGCAGCCCCCGCCACCACCTCCACAACCACCACCTCCTCCTCAGCAGCAGCAGCAGCAGCAACAACAACAGCAAGAACAAGAGGTGTTTCCACTCGCCATCATCTGCTCGGTGGACAAGACCTCTGCTCCAGCCGAAAGCAACGTACAGGAGCAAAAGCCCTCGGAGTTCCAGTGCCTGCTCTGCAACAAGACCTTCCCCAAGTTGACACTGCTGCTGCGCCACCAGCGCTTTGTCCACAACATGGAGCGCCGCCACAAGTGTCTGACTTGCGGCAAGATGTTCAAGAAGAAGTCGCACATGCGCAACCACCTCCTGACGCACACCGGCGAGAGGCCGTACCACTGCAAGGAGTGCGGCAAGAGCTTCAACTCGCAGGCCAACCTGCAGCGCCACCGCCTGACGCACACGGGCGAGCGCCCTTACCGCTGCGAGATCTGCCAGAAGTGCTTCACGCAGTCGTCCACCCTGCAGCAGCACCTCCTGGTGCACAAGCGCCACTACCCCTACAAGTGCCAGGAGTGCAACAGCGTCTTCCACCGGCCCTACCGCCTGCTCATGCACCGCTACCACCACACGGGCGAGTACCCCTACAAGTGCCAGACCTGTGGCCGCTCCTTCCTGCTCCGTCGCCTGCTGGAGGTCCACCAGCTGAGTCACACGGGGCAGCAGCCCCACCGCTGCACGTCCGGCTGCGGCGCAGCCTTCGTCACGGCCGAGCAGCTGAAGGAGCACAAGTGCGGCAAGATGAGCCGCCACTTTGAGTGCTCCGTCTGCGGCAAGAAGGTTGGCTCGACGGCGCAGTTGAGAGCCCACGAGCGGCTGCACGGGGACATCCAAGTTCCGGAAGGGGCGGAGGAAGAGCCCCCCGCTTTGGAGCTGCCCCCGCCCCGGCCCCGCCGCCCCACCGGCCCCAAGGTTTTCGAGTGCAGCGACTGCAAGAAACTGTTCAGCACCGAGACGTCGCTGCAGGTCCACCGCCGCATCCACACGGGCGAGCGCCCCTACCCGTGCCCGGATTGCGGCAAGGCCTTCCGGCAGTCCACGCACCTGAAAGATCACCGGCGGCTGCATACCGGCGAGAAGCCCTTCAAATGCGACGAGTGCGGGAAGGCCTTCACCATCGCCGTGCGGCTGGCTGAGCACAAGCGCATCCACACGGGGGAACGCCCGTACCACTGCGACGCTTGCAACAAGGCTTACCGCTCCTTCTCCAACCTCTGGAAGCACCGCAAGATGCATCAGCAGCAGCGGCTGCAGAACGAGCAAGAGGCCATGGCAGAGGCTGTCGCTGCTGCTGCGGCTGCAGCCGCTGCTGCAGCCGCAACGCCGTCGGCCTCGTCCACGCCTAGTGACCAGGTCTATGGCAACACTGTTACCATTATGGAGACCATCCCTGTGGTGGAGACCATTGAAATCTACCCTACAGATGCCGGGGTTCACTTCGAGAACATCCAGGTGGAGAATGTCCAGATCGGGGGAGTTTGAGTTGGGCTGGGGGGAGCAAGGAGATGCAGCTGGCCACGCTCTGTGGACCGGGAGCTGCTGCTCTCTGGCTCCCCCTTGCTGGGGCTCTAGTGTAGCTGCAACAACTTCTGCTCCCTAGCTTTTTTATCCATGCTCCCTCTGCTGCCCAGGTTTTGGCCATTTCTGCAACATGGCTGCGTCATCTAGACTTCTCCGGTTCTGAAGGTGAACTGGGCTCCCATTTCTTCCCCGTCTGCACAAACACCAGGACACGACATTGGGGTTGGCTTGTGCACTCAATGCCACCGTGGGGTCTGACCCTCCCATTTCCGTTGGGGTTGGGTTCTTTCCCACTCAGTTGTGTGGAACGTGGCTTTTATTTTTTTTAATGGCACAAGCGACCCCTCCAGACTTGAGAATGCCCAACCACAGCCTCCCCCCATGGCTGAGGCCCTTGAATGCTAAATGGTTTTGTTTGTTTCATAGAGTGCTCCAGGGAATAGCTTCCCTGCTGGGGTTCAGTCTGACTTGTAAATACCTCTTGACTGGGTTTCCCTCTTCGCTGTGGGAGCTTCTCTCACTGTTTGCTGTTGCTCCTCTATCACCCACACATATTCCCCTTGTGACCCCTGACAGCTGCTTTTATTTGGTTTCTTGCTAACTGGATTCTTCCCCATGGCTGCAGGAGCATTTTGTTATTTCGTATGAAAATTAAACAGGAATCAAAGCGCTCATGGTTTTTTGAAGTGTGTTCTTTTGTATTATGGTGGTTTTGAGTAGAGCTGGGTGCAGCGTAAGGCTGTCAGTGGGTTAATTTCTAATCACCTGCAATGTTCATTATTTGTTATATTAATACTTAATGCCTTCTTAAAACAGGCATTCTTCCCTCTTTCTCTCTCTCACAGGAGGGAATTTATTTCATTCCATTTATGAATCGCTTCCCATAAAACATCTTGAAGCAATTTAACAAGGTGGCTGTTTCTAATATTGTGCCTGTTGCAACATGTTACTTCGTTATCTGAAAAGGGAAATAACCCTTTCTTCAAAGTGTTCTTTATTTATATGGAAATCTATGCAGATTTAATTGTTTGGCTGAAACTTAACACAATTAATCCCCTGATAACGGTTTTTAAAGCAGACAAGCCCTAAAGTTTTCATGTAATCCTCACTGTAAGGTGCTTTGACAAAAATTTAATAAGCAGAAACTGCTGGTCGTTGTCGAAAGAAAGGAGTATCTGTACCTTTTTCTGCTTTCATTTGCTGTTGTAGTAACACGAGATCACTGAAATACACTAAATAAACAACCTGTGCAATTAAATCTTGGTGCCACCACATACAGTTGTCCCCCACTAATTAACTAAAGCAGGAATAGCTAACCTGTTGCCTTCCTGATAATGCTGGATGCCATTTTCTAGAGGCCATGCTGGCTGGGTCTTCTGGGAGTTGCGGAAAGCCAAAGGTTCCCCGCCTTCGATCTTAAGCATTACTTGGATTATCTGTCATTTAAAAGTTGCAGCAGTAGCAGAGTAAAAAGTTATGACAAGTCTAGAGGATAGTGCGAAGTGTTTCTTCTTCCCAGGCAGGACTTCCCTGTTAAGGATAATTCTAGCCTGGTGAGGAATTTCCCCTCTGGAATGTGTCCCTTTGATAGTGGGAGTCTGTAGAGCATGGGACTCTTAATTTCAGGGTCGTGGGTTCCAGTCCCATACTGGGCAAAAGATTTCTGCATTACAGGGGGCTAGACTGGGTGACCCATGTGGTCCTTTCCAACTCTACAATTCTATGATTCTATTGGTGGATGGATATGAGAGTGAGAGATCCCCTATCAGACCTTTTTTTGGTAAGAGGATGCAATTTCGCATCATGTCCACTAGGTGGGACAGTTTTTAAGAATTGCCTTGCTGAATTTGACCAAAGGTATGGTTTGGCCCAGCAATCTGTCTCCCAGAGCAGACAGCCAGATGCCACAGATGCAAGCAGGGCGCAACAGAGGTGACAATCAGGGGAATTATAGCATCTCTGAATGTGAAGGCATCAGTTTAAGCCTTCAATACATACCAGCAGCCCCTTGATACTTGGAAGGCTTGATTGCTTGGAAAGGAAGCTGCTGAAACCCAAAAAAATATCTGAGTCACAAAGTCAGGGTGCGGTGCGGTGGAGTTGGAGAGACCTAGCTGGATTTGGACAGAGGTTGTCACTTACCCAAGTGGAAGCAAGAAGAACATTTTGATTAGAAGATAAATGATTTGGGTCCCAATAAATGCGAACTGAGAAGAGCTACCTAAAATTCCATCCCTGGACAAACAGAAGCACCAGGTCCCTTAAAATGTAAGCTATGGACATTTTCAGGATCCAGTTGGGGGACAGCTTGTACACGTATCGCTCAAGTTTGTGGGCTTTCTGCACTGCAGGTAAAGCCAAGCTAAGGGTTTCTTCTTTCCTCCTTACTGTGCTTCCCTCTGCTGTCTTTGCCCTTGTACCCAAAGTAGATTATCTGCTTGGATCCTCATCCTCTCCAGGTAGGGCTGGGAGAGGCCCATGCCTCAAAGCCTGCAGAAACCAACGCCTCTCAGCACAGTGATGGATCGGTGGTTTGACTTGGCAAAAGGCAGCTTCTCGCCTTCCTAACAATTGACGCAAGCGATTCCTAGCTGCTGCTCCTTTTTCAGGCTGCCCGGGGGACCTTGGAGCAGGTGGCTTTTCTCCCCCTTATACCCACATAATCACACATGGAGTCTGTGCAGATGGAAGGGAAAGAGTTCCCGACTCTGGGGGGGTGTTTTATGCCATGGGGCTTCCCTCAGCATCTTCTCTCTTAGTTTGCGCCTTATCTCTTGTTCCTCGCTGGCCAAGGAGCTGGCCTTGGTGCTGAGGACACCAGCTGCGAGGGCTCAGTCACTGAAATGCACATCAGATGAGAGAACATTTGCCTTTGTGCTCTCATGGACACGCTTTCCATTCTCCCAGGGCCGCAGAGCGGCTTCTCCTGTGCGTTTTGATGAGGCGCTTTCAGTGGTGTCACGACAGCTTGAGGAAGGATCCCGTTCTGGTCATTTCTCTCTTTCCGCCTGGCTGCAACGCGGCTGCTATTCCCTAGGCATGGCTGTGTCCTTAATACCTCTCCGTTTCTACCTCTGGCACGTTAAGGCACCTTCCAGTTGAGCAGCACGTACGTTGAAGATGTGCTAATGCAATATTAAGCACGGAGGGAGGAGGCGTTATTCTGTGATTCAAGATAATGGGAGTTGTTGGTCTGTTGTTGTTTTAATGGCTAGGTGTGTCTGCATTTTCCCAGAGTAAAAGCTTCCAATTTATACATGGCGCTCCTGTGGAAATAACTTTTCCATTAGCTTTTGTGAAGTTCCCCAAGTTATTGAGCAGGAACATCTTTTCAGGAGTGAAGACTCAAGGCAGGGGTACTGAAAGAAATGGCCTGTTGAACTTCAGAGTAATCTTATTTTCTTGTATCATGCAGGGAGTCAACAGGCAACGATTTGCTGTGGATAAATTCTCTGGATTGCTATTAATTAATTTTTTTCCTTGAGGCACAAGTTGTGAAAACAGCTCTAGATAGTCCACGAAAATGGTAACTCTGGATTTAATAAAGTGTCCACGGGTGGCCCCTCTTCTCCCCTACCCAATGGTTACAGGGGCAATATGGTGGTGGTCTTCAATCTTTTCACATACGACCTACCTTTAACTTCAACTGGCAACAAGCGACTGGGCTCTGTTTCTGACCTTTATGCCCTTTCTCTGCGTGGCTCAGCATATTTGGTTTAGCTCTTTTCCCCTTGTCTCCAAAGATCTGCGGCAACACAAGAGCAGGCCTTTCCAATGGTGCCTCCTTGCTTATAGAATGCTGTCCCAGGGGACATTCGCCTGGCACCATCATTGCATATCTTAGGTGCCAGACAAAAACATTCCTTTTTAATCAGGCCTTTGGCTTTTATCTGCCTATGGCTTTTTTCTCGGGTGGGAGGTTTTAATGTAGATCCATCACTTTTATCCTTTTTGTCGCTCTTTTCTGAACCTTTTCCAGCTCTTCAATATCCTTTTGGATGTGAAACGACCAGAACGGTACGCAATCTTATTCCAAATGTGGTTGCACCATAGATCAACACCTCTCAGAGATGGTCCTCTCCCTCCCTGACTTACATCGCTGGTTTCCTCTTTCAAAACTGATCTACCCTGCACCAAACAGGCCAGAAACTTAAATAAAAAAACCCATACATATTTGCGCACGTGGAGCAGGGACCGCCAACCCTCCCGTTTCTGCTCCAGGGCTGTCTGTGCCTGGAATTGGAGATGGCAGCTTCCAAGCCTGCTTTGGAACTCAACCCAGACAAGTTGCAACAGGAAGACCGGGCAGTGCTGAGGATGATGGGGAGGGAAGCTGGCAGCGAGGAAGGCAAACAAGAAGAAAGGAATGGGAATGAGTTGAAACTGTTTTTCAGTCTTCCCTACGAAGTCCTTTCAATGCATGGGAAGCTAAGGAGTAGCTACAAGGAATGTGTATCCAAGATACAGTGGTACCTTGGTTCTCAGAATGGCTTGGCTCCTGAATGCTGCAAACCCGGAAGTGAGTGTTCCAGTTTGTGAATGTTTTTTGGAAGCCAAACATCCGGCCTGGCTTCCAATTGAGTGCAGGAAGCTCCTGCAGCCAATTGGAAGCCACGCCTTGGTTTTCAAACCGTTTCAGGAGTCGAATGGACTCCCGGAACGGATGAAGTTTGAGAACCAAGGTACCACTGTACACAAGGGTAAGGGAGATGGATCTGCACTCAAACAGAGCTCATTAGAGCCAGGAGGGTTGCAGGATTCTTCCCCTAGCTCCAGGTAGAGAGAGGTAAAGGGACCCCTGACCATTAGGTCCAGTCATGGCCGACTCTGGGGTTGCGGCGCTCATCTCACTTTATTGGCCGAGGGAGCCGGCGTACAGCTTCCGGGTCATGTGGGCAGCATGACTAAGCCGCTTCTGGCGAACCAGAGCAGCACACGGAAACACCATTTACCTTCCCGCCAGAGCGGTGCCTATTTATCTACTTGCACTTTGATGTGCTTTCAAACTGCTAGGTTGGCAGGAGCAGGGGCCGAGCAACGGGAGCTCACCCCGTCGTGGGGATTCGAACTGCCGACCTTCTGATCGGCAAGTCCTAGGCTCTGTGGTTTAACCCACAGCATCCCTTTAGAGAGAGAGAGGTAGAGGAGATTAAAACAGGAGGCATGGGAACTGTAGTTTTCCCTTCACAGAGCTACAATTAACCAGCATGCTTAACAAACTACACTTCCCAGGATTCACGTGCTTTAAATGTGCACTGTGTGTGTGTTGTGTGTCTCCTGGAGCCCTCCCCAAGTAGATTTCAAAACACACAAGGGAGGACAGGAAAGTAGGAAGAGAAAGCAAGATAATAAGGAACGGAACAACTGAGGTATGGTGTGGATCTGCCAACCTTTTGCTGCTATGATGCACAATAAGCAACCAGCAACCCACTATGCCTAAATAAGACTGTCAATGGGTACGCAAAGTTCTTGGGTCCCCCTACACCTTGCACCTTGCACTTAATCCCTTTCTACCCAAAGCTGCCTATGCCAATTGTAGGGCCAGCTTGCATATTAAACAGCTGAAACCAAGATGTGGCCCTTGATTTGTCTGCTTAGCAAGGTGTCATGATTAATCTTGATCCTTGGATCAATGCTCCTGTGTTATACAGGTGTTTGCTGCATTCATACCTTGCAGTTTCAGGTGTACGTGTTAAAACATCTGCAGCTGATGTGTAGCTAGCTGTTGTTAGGTACAAAGTACCAACATAAAGCTTGAATGCTACTGCACACTTTAGGTACTTCAAAATAATCTACCCCAGCAGTTAGCATAGATGACCAGGCTTCGATTAGAGCAGTGCTTTCCAAACGTTTCGGGTTGGTGACACACTTTTTAGACATGCATCATTTCGCAACACAGTAATTCAGTTTTACAGAACAGTGGTACCTTGGTTTGCATACGTCTTTGTTTGCATATGTTTTTTATTACAAACACGTCAAACCTGGAAGTGTCCCGGTTTGCAAGCTTTTTTCGGACTACAACCCCTCTTTTATTATTACGGGGGGGGGGGATTTGGAGGCCCCATTGGCAAAAGCGCACCTTGGGTTACAACCTGTTTTGGTTTACAAATGGACCTCTGGAACGGATTATGGTTGTAAACCAAGGTATTACTGTACTAGCAAACGGGAGGTTAACCCCTTTCCAGCCCCAAGAGGAGCGTGGGGAGCGACTGAGCGACACACGAACTGCAGACGACACACTGATGTGTCGCGACACAC